AGGGGGGCAAAAAACAGTCGAAGGGAGCACCTCCCGATCCTGCCCGCGCGCGCTGTCGCCGACGCGAGCGTCTTCTCCGCCGGCGGTGGAGAGCGCTCAAGGCTAGCAAGCAGACTGACGCTTCCGCCAAGATCTCGCTCTTGAGCACGCCGGGGTGCTTTCAAAAGATCATGCTGCGTGAAGCGAGGAGGGTCGCAGACACTGCACGCGCAAGTACACATGCCCAAATGAAACAGAAGTAAGAGAGACAATCAGACATCATCAACTCCCAACTCCTAGCAGAAGCCCGTAGTATGCGAATTGACGGTCGCCATGCCCCTAAACTCACGGTCGACGTTGTCCTGCGAGCGAGGGCGAAACTGAACGAGGGAAAAGCTCCCGGGGGAAATCTCGCGTTGTCGGGGAGATGCTTGCCACGTTGCCCATCTCAGTCTGTCACATTCTGTCGTTCAGAACGTCGGGTCGTGGAACGCCATCGTCATGTTCTTCAGTAAGAAGATGCCGCCGCCTGTTTCCACTGCTCATTTTCGAGGCGTTCGCCTGATTGACATGCTCCAGAAGTTGTACACGTCATGTCTTGTGATACTTGCTCGTTCCACTCCTTTTCCTGTTTCTTGGTCTCGCGCGTGCATCTTTGGCTATGAAGAGAAGCTCTCGGTGGACCTACTGGCTGGAGGATTTCAGCTACTTCGCGCTCATTCTCGGGAATGGCGCCAGCAGTGTCCGATCTATGTGACCAAGGGAGACTTCACAGGTGCTTTCGACATGATGACCTTCGACCATATGACAGAGGCCATGCGCCATCGTGGATTGGATCCCCAGCTCATGGCTGCACTCTTGCGGGAGCAGCTCTACACCGTCGTGGGGAATGCCTCCCAGGGCATCAAGGCGCAGCAGTCCATCCCATTCAACCGGAGTGGGAAGCAGGGAGGGGTTGAGACGCTGTTCCATTGGAGTCTTATCGTGTGTTTGTTGCTCTCCAGATTGATGCCGGAGTGGGAGGAGGCCGGTATTGGCATGTTCATATCCGATCAACCGTATCACCACCTCGTTTGGGCGGATGACTTTCTGTTATTCGCTGGTATTTTCGATGTGGTCAGTCGTCTCTTTACTGATCTTACGGGTCTTATGGGGCATCATGGTTTATCTAGGAAGCTTGAGTCCCCTGAGTTCTTCACGAACGACGTTTCTTTTCTCGTGTCGGAGTCCATCGAGATCTGGGCGAAAGGGCGCCTGACGGTGACCCCCGACGGTGACCTCCAACGGACCCCGACGGACCCCCGACGGCGTCCCCCGACGGTGACCCCCAACGGAGCCCCAGCGGACCCCCGATCCCCCCCTGTTCCGGAGGCGTGCTTCCGGAACATGCGTGCTTCCGGAACATGGGGCGGACCCCCAACGGACCCCCGACGGTGATCCCCCGATGGTGACCCCCGACGCTGCTGTTGGGCCCCCGACGGTGACTCCCGACGTTTCTGCATCCTTGTTTGAAGCGCAGGTTCTGAGGTTCTCGGACTCTGGCAGACCCCCGACGGCAATGCCCCTGATGCGGTCGGGCACCGTCTTCAGAAAGGCTCTCAGGCTTTTTGGAAGGACTCTAAGATTTATTTCAACACGTCCTTGGCGTTGTCCCTGCAGTTCGACAGATATGGTAAGTGCCCGCGGCATGTCATGGTTGTGGATCTTGGACGTGGACCGAGTGTCTCGCGCTGAGGCTCGACCGCTGGGAAGGCTACCATTCGTGTCGGATTGCTCGCGTGAAACGTCGGCCTCATGAAGTTCCAGTCTCTCATTTCCGGCGGTCTGTTCGTTATGGCGCCAATATACTGCTGCGGGCTTCCAGCCACTCAGCGTTCGTGTTCTGCGCGCTTCTCTTGCGCTGCTCTCTCGCACCATCCCCAAACCGATGAAGATGCGAGCTCGCGAGTTTCTCAGGGACGCGGCCTGCTGGCGCAGTGCGGCTGAATGGAGGACGATGCAACTAGTTCTTTCTAGCGGAGAGGGTTCCGATCCACGGCATATGCGCAAATGAAGACACGAGCATCATTACAAGCGGGCTCGCCAGTGGGATGAAGTGTTTCTTGAGTTATTCGATCGGCGATCCCTCTTACTTCTCATCTCAGAAGTGTTGGCGTTTTGTGAAGCATGCGTTCGAGAGCGTTGACTTGACTGTGCCTGAGTACGTGTCGTCGGTGCTCAAGCCCACGGGTGCGAACCATGGTGCGAAAACTCCTTCGGATAATATCAGCCCTTCCGAAAGTGCAATGGGATGCCGTTCCTGAGTCGCCCCCTCCCTCCTCTCCTCTGGCTTTGCCCAGCCTTCATTGTAGATTAAAGATCCTTGGGGATTCCAAGCTGATCGTCCAGTGGCTGAACGGCTGTTGGAGAAGGTTTGACGGCTTTTACACCCCCTTCGCTGCCGCGGCTCAGCGCCGGCTCGAAAAATTGCGGTCGCGTGAGATAGCTGCGCCTCGCGAGGACTCTGGCCACTGGTGCAGGCACGTTTATAGGGAGTTTAATCAGCGAGCTGACGCTCTTGCCCCCGAAGCTCTTGCTGCCTGTCTGTTTCATGCCTTTTACTCCCCGCCTCCTTTTCCCTTCCAGGAGGTGTAATTCGTGACCCCCCCATTCGGCGGTGGCTCGAAGAACGGACTTTCCTCGAGCGGTTGGCACGCCGATGTCGCCCGTTCCTGTGACCGACACGGCTCGCCCATCGCCCATCTTCCATCGAGTTGCAGAGGGTTCGGTCTTTTGGGGAGAGGGTATTGTCACTCTCGGGGAATTTCGTGGTTTTGTCCAGGTGGTCGAGGCGATTTACATCATGCTCGTACAGCGTGAACTTTGTTTTGATTCGCAGGCACTGGTGCGGGAATGCTGGCTCTAGCAATTCGTTGCTGTCTGAGTCATTTTGTTTTTTTTTTGGTTCGTCACATATGAACATTGCTTATATACCCTTCTCATGTTTGAGTAGCGCGGGTGGAAATAATTGCATTGGCGAGCGGGGCGCCCCGCATGCATCGTGGATGAGATCCACCGAGTTAGTCCCACCACAGAGACTTTCAGGCAGCAGACGCTACCCTGGTAAACTCGTGAAGCTTGTGTTATACCTCCGTCCCACCGCTGGATTGCTCGGCGGCGGAGGGCGGCGGGGGCCATGGGCCGGCCCCCCAGTGCGGAAGAGACAGGCCATGCGAGTGCGAGCGCGCTCACTTACATGAGCAGAGGACCCCGAAACGCCACTGACAGTTGCCCTGCTCGGCGCACTGGCCGCCCCGGCTCGTGCGCCGGCGTCGAAGTGGACCGTCTTGTCATTGGTGCCGCCGTCCGCTGGAGCCGACGATGTAGTGTTTCCGTCATTCGTTTTGCGCTTCGTGTCCATCCGAAGTACATGTGCAGCGTGGTCAGCCTTGATGCCATCCATCTTAGATATATACGGCACTTTTAAACAAACCTTTGGCGATCTGCTGCGGCTGGGACTGCAGGTCTTTTCGATCGGCGATGTTCTTGCGGTCTTCCTCAGTAGTCTCGCGTTCGTTTCGTCAATTTGAAACGCTGGGTCCACGCCAATGAAAGCCGTGAGGTCCTTAGAACCATCGTCAATATAGGTTCTGGCTTTGCGAGCTGGATTACAAACTTCTCGTATTCACCGTCGGTCGTCGCGGAGCGGTCGGATAGCGCGTGCACAGAGGCTTGCTGATTATTGTACCAGCTGGCGCACGTGTCAAGCTTGGCTAACTCGGCCTCGAGGGCGCCCTTGAGCTGCGCGGCCCTGGCGCAAGCGGTGGACCTCCGCGCATCTGCACCAACTGTTTCTGGTGCCGAGCGGACGACCGGGTGTCTCCCGCCTTCTTCGATCGCTCGACCAGCTGCTCAAGATCCTGCACGGTGACGGCAGGGTCTGGAGCAGGACCATCAGCAGGAACGTCAGCAAGCGCTTGAGGGCCTCGAGAACAGCGGCGCCCTTGCGCTCCATGTGGCACTGCTTGCAGTGCTGCCAACGCGCCTGGTTCTTCTTGCAGTGGCAAGTGGCACACCGCCAGCGCCGCTCAACACCTTGTGCGTCTGGCGCGGGGGGCAGAGTGGGCTGCTGGCGGGACGGCTGGCGGCGGCGGGGGGCCACCATGGCGGCTGAGCTGGTGGCGGGCCGCCGTTGCCCTTGCCAGCCTTGCCGCCCGCTTCGGCGCCGGCGGCTGGCCCTCGGCCCTCGACTGCGGCAGCCCATATCCCCTGCCCTTGCCGTTCTTCCCCTCGAAAGCCCACAATGCGCCCATCGCCCACAGCTGTCTAGGAAGGTAAACGTAGTGGAAAAATTAAGCCCGCTGTCACCCAGTCTCACTGAATGCTGGCGACAGCAAGCACAAACATTTGTGCCACTGAGGCTGGAGAAGGAGGAGGAGGAGGAGGAGGAGGAGGAGGAGCATGAGGGGGGGGGGGGGAGAAAGAGAAGGAAGAAAAGGAGGAGGAGGAGAAGGAGGAGGAGTAGGAAGACGTGGTGGTGGAGGTGGAGGGAGGTGGAAGGGGATGGAGGATGGAGGATGGAGGATGAAGGATGCAGGATGGAGGAGGAGGAGGAGGAGGAGGAGGAGTAGGAGGAGTAGGAGGAGGGGGAGAAGGAGGAGGAGGAGGAGGAGGGAGAGGAGGAAGAGGAGGAAGAAGAGGAAGAAGAGGAAGAGGAGGAAGAGGAGGAAGAGGAGGAAGAGGAGGAAGCGGAGGAAGAGGAGGAAGAGGAGGATGGAGGATAGAGGATGGAAGTTGGAGGGTGGAAGATGGAGGATGGAGGAGGAGGAGGAGGAGGAGGAGGAGGAGGAGGAGGGAGGAGGAGGAGGAGCAGGAGGAGGAGGAGGACAAGGACAAGAGAGGAGGACTTCGTGGAGGCAGTGGTGGTGGAGGAAGGGGGGGATGGAGGAGGGATGTGATGGTGGAGGAGGAGCAGGAAGGAAACGGGGATCGGCAGAGCATCTCTCACGCTCCTCCCGCGGGGGCGTGCCACCCGCGGGCAGGGCCGCACGGGCATCGCGTGCCTGCTGGACCGCCCCGCCCGCCCCCCCCGCGCGCGGCCCGGCACCGCCACCCCAATCGGCAGGGCGGCGCGCGGCCTCGTCATCATCATTACGGGTCAGCCGTTCAGCTCCCAGGGGAAAGGCCCCGCGGAGTTTGAAATAACACTTATCGCATATATGGTGTACGCATGCAAACACACGTGCGTACGTGCGCATCTATATATATATATATATATATATGTATACACATATGCCAGCATACATACGTAAATGCAAGCGCAGATACACACATACGTACATACGTACGCACAGACATATTTGCATACATAAATGCGTACATGCATGTATGCATGTATGCATACATAAAGGCATGTCTATATATATACACGCATGAATACAAGCATGCATGCATACATGCTGTATGCTTGCATGCAGAGGCACACATGCATGTATGCAGCACTGCATGTCCACATGCATACATACAAACATGCATGCCTGCATACACGCATGCATGTGCAAACATGTGCAGTAATGAACACATACATGCACGTACACATGTGGATACGTACATACACACATACACACGTACATACACATGCATACATACACACATAGAATAACACACATACATACGTACATCAATCCATATATGTATATATGCATACACATAAACATAGATACATATATACACACGTACATACATACATACGTTCATTCATTCATTCAGCCACACGGGCATGCACACCTACATGCACTCGTGCATGCAAGTCGGCCCGTGGGGCCAAATCCACGCCAGTGGGGACAGGGATCCGTTCGGCGATGCTCAGCTGGGCGAGCGTGCGGGGCCTGGGCCCCAGGCGTTCGGGCCTCGCTTAGGTGGCAGACGCTCTGTCGCGTTGCGGGGCTCTGTCTCCCATGTCCCCCTCACACTTGCGCCCCCCCCCCCAGTCCCCCCTCCTTTTTCTTAGCCAGGCCGCCAAGCGCGCACGCTGAGGCGTCAGTGTCCCCCCTCCCTCCTCCTCCTCCATCTCCTCCTCCTCCTCCGCCTCCGCCTCCGCCTCCTCCGCCTCCACTTCGGGCCTGTGACCGTCTCTGGCGAATCCGTGTGCGAGCTGTCGCTGCGCCCCCAGGCCGCGATACTCGCCGCTCCGCCGCCCAAGGTCTCATGTCCTCCTCCGCTCCCGCACCCCCCCCTCGGGTCGGCGGGAGGCGCTGTGCGAGCCAGCGTGAGAGCGTCTGCGTGTTCCTCGATCTCCTGAGCCTTACAACCTCCTTCTCCTCCTCCTCCTCCTCCTCCTCCTCCTCCTCCTCTTCCTCCTCCTCGGCCTGACACGCTGCCCCAATTGCTACCGTATCGTACCGTATCGTATCCTCCTCCATCTCTCACGTTGCATCTCCATGATGTCATCATCATCATCATCATCAGCAGCAGCATCATTATCATCATCATCATCATCATCATCATCATCATCATCGTCATCAGCATCATCATCATCATCGTCATCCTACTCCTCATCATCATCCTCATCCTCGTTGCCGCCACGCCATCACAAGCGGATGCGGCCGATCTTCTGGGTTTCACATCCTAGGCATCGGAACTATCATCATCACCACTTTCCCCTGGTTTATTTTGTGTGCCTCATTAAGATGCCATGTAAGATAAAGTACACGGGCGCTTGGAAACATATTTCCATGGAGGTGGCATCAGGTTCGAGTGAGGAACGCGGCTGTCGTTGGAATATACCACACGTAACGATCCAAGTAATAATCGCACGAGCACTGCTCTGAAGAGACAGAGAGAGATTGAGAGAGAAACAAGCAGCAACAACAACAACAACAAAACAAAACAAACAAACAACAAGCCGTGCACGTCGGAGGTTCATTGGCAAAGCGGTGGTGAGACAAGTTCCACTGCCTGCAAATCGGCTGTGAAGCAGTGAAACGCAAAGGGACGATAACGACAGCGACCACGGCGACGACGGCAACGACGACGAGCTCTGCGAACCGCAATAGGGTTCTATATTCGTGATGCCGGACGGCGGTCGAGCATGAGTCGCCGTGCAAGATCACATTCGCGTCACGCAGGTCAGGCTCGGCACCTCGGAGACAGAAGTAAGATGCACCAAGGCCGCCTACTCCACACAGTGCGGTTTTAGTGTGAGAGATCACGACACAAAGCCAAACCGCAATAGTAAGGATGGGAAGCCTTCCCAAGGGGGCCCTTGCATCCTTGCCTCCTCGGTCCATCCTTCGCCACTTCCGTTGGCCGCGCCCCGCTCGAGAAGCTTCGAAATCGCCGTCCAAGGCCCGTCGGCGTCGTCGGCGTCGTCGTCGTCGATGTCGCCATCGGCGTCGTCATCGTCGTCCTCCCCCTCCGTGGCTGTTTTGGCCCCAGCCATTTTGGACTGCGGCCGCCCAGCCCGGAGCGCCGCCGATCCCCACGCCGCCTCGACGCGCCGCCCGCACGGCGCCGCCCGCGGCCAGCCCGCCCCGATGGCGGTGTTGCGGTGCCTCGGGTGCGGCCTCGCGAGCCAGCTGCCGCCGCTGGCCGCGCTGCTGTGCGTCGCGTGCCCCTGGGAGCGGGCGGCGGGGGGTCCGCCGACGCGGCCCCCGCGCGGGACGACGTCGCAACACCAACCAACGCCCCTGGGGAGCCACCGCTGGCGATGCGCGGCTGCTAGCGTCGCGGGTCGCGAGGCTGGAGGCTCGAGGCTCGAAGCTGGACGGGATTAGGATGCAGAGGGTCGAGGCTCTAGGTGGCGTGGGCCGCTGTGGAAGAGGCCTCGGGAGGCCTCTGGAAGCTTCCGCGAGGGAAGCCTCCGTGGGCCTCGGGCGAGGTACCTGGACGGCGCCGGCATGCTCAAGGAGGCGTGCGGCGCGCTCTTCTTCCCGGAGCAGCGGTTGCGCTCGGTCCCGCCGCCCTCCCAGGCGGCAGGCAGCAGTGGGCCCACGCACGGCGTGGATCCGGCACGCCCCTGGAAGGCTCGGTGGCCCGCGAGGCCGCCGCCGCGGGAGCCGCCGCCCGCGCGGGCGCCGCCGCCGCCGCCGTCGGCCGCGCCGCCGCCGCCGGCGAAGGCGTGGAACTGGCCGCGCGACCTGGAGTACCCGTTCAAGGAGAAGATGCCCCTGGAGATGGCGCTGGCCGGGGTGGACGGGGAGCTGCGCTACGCGCCGTGGGAGGCGGAACCGAAGGTGCGGTGCGACGCCAAGCAGCTGCTGCACGCGCGCGAGCGGCAGAGTGGCACGAAGGAGGGCGAGTGGGTGCCGCGGCCCAACCGCACGCCCGTGTTCACCGTGGGCCTGCACAAGACGGGCACCATGAGCTACGCGAGGATTTACCAGCTGATGGGGCTGGTGTCCCTCCACGGGGTGTGGTGGCCGACCGGGGACAAGACCAAGCACGACGCCTTCGCGGACGGCGGCGGTGTGCGTTTCTTCTGGAACGACAAGTTCCAGTTCGGCGACGCAACATCGCATCCGATATGGAGTTATGTGCGGTGCTGGCCTGGCGCCACGCTGGTCCTCAGCGTCAGAGGCCTCTACTCATGGCTGAGGTCCAAGCTGAAGCACGAGTACATGAATCACGATGGCTCGGAGGAAGACGTCTTGCGCTTCGGCTCCATAATGGCGCATTGGACCCTTTTCAGAGACAAGTACCATCGTCGAATCCTGGACATCGCGATGGCCAACGCGACAATCGCACGCCAGCTGATCATCTTGGATCTGCCTGACGAGGGGCCGGTGAACACCAGCTGCGCCTTGTGCCAGCGCCTGGAGATCGACTGCTGCAAAAAGAATATAAAAGCGCACGGCTCCTATCCTGGGCTGAGACTGAAGAACGCGACCGCTTGGAACCACGACGTCGAGCGTCGGGCAGTGCCAAGGGGGGTCACCAGTTCCTTTTCAGCATCGAGGTTCCAGGGTCGAAGCTCAAAGAGGTTTTTGGACGTTTGGGGTATTAAGGGGGGGGGCGGCTCCGAAATGGTTCGCAGGCCGCCTTTCCTCCGGGACATGGTGCTCCCTCGAGGAGGCGGGGACCCCCCTCAGCAGTGCCCGGGAGCGCAGCATGGAGAGGGCCCTGAGTTTGCTCCGCGTCCCGCCGGACCAGGCCGAGGACGTGAAGCGCCGGCCGCTGCTGTCCCTGGACCTGGTGCGCTCGCCGGAGGTCCTCGCGTGGCTGCGCGCGGAGGGCTACGGGCGTCTCGTGTGACGGCCGCCGGCGCCGGCCGGCCAGACCATCGACGGTGGCAAGCGCAGCTCTAAATACAACTTTTCAGGGGGGCTTGTGAGCGGGGTAGACGGCTGGGAGGATTCGGGGCAGGGGGGAGGTCGACGACACGTAAGGGTGACCATTCGCCGGAGGAACCTTCTGGTGTGGGCCCAGCGGGGCCCCCCCGATCGCTGAATGCGGTGCGGTAGCAGCGGCTTGCGCGCCGGGTGGTGTCCCCGATGGTCCCTCCCTCTGGCCGCGCCCTGAAAGTCACTCTTGTCTGGGGTCACCCCTTGCGTGTAGCCGAGGAGGGCGAAGGAGCTCGGGCAGCGGCGGGAGCACAAGCAGCTGGAGCCCGCAGACATCTACCCCGCTGACCGGAGCCCCCGAAAACCGGACTCGAGCAGCACGCGAGGGGACCGCGGCTCGCGCCGCGTCCCGACGGACCAGGCCGAGGATGTGAAGCGCCAGCCGCTGCTTTCCCTAGACCTGGTGCGCTCGCCGGAGGTCCTCGCGTGGCTGCGCGCGGAGGGCAAGGGGCACCTCGTGTGACGGCGGCCGTCGGGGTCAGCGGTCGGAGAGGCGACGGTGCCAGTGTGGACGAGTGCCGCGCTGACAGGTCTCTCCTCCTCCTCCGCCTCCTCCTCCTTCTCTTCGTTCTCGGTTTCCCTCCTCCCTCCCCGCTCACACCCTCATTCCATAACTTAATTCATTCCCCCCTCCTCTCTCCTCACTCCTACTCGTCCTCCGCATTTCCCCTTCTTCCTCTTGCTGGGGCAGCGGGAGAGCAGCAAGGGAGGGGAGGGGTAAGCTGAGAGCGAGGGCAAGGGCGAGAGGCGGGGGAAGACAGAGCCGGAGGTACAGTCGAAACCGATAGCAAGGATGGGTTGTTACCTTCCTAAGGGTACCCTTGCATCCTTGCCTCCTCGGTTCGTCCTTAACCACTTTCGATTGCCAGCCCCGCTGGAAACGCCTCGGGGTGGGCGTAGAAGGCCCTTGCATCCTTCCCGCGGATCCTTCCCATCAGTTTTGACCGTAGAGGGGGAAGACTGGTGTTGCAAGAAGGTGCGTGTAGACCCACGCGTGCGTGTGCAAGCCAATTCGTCGGCAGGGCTGGGGTCTTCAGGGGGGCACCCGTGCTCAAGAGACCAGTTGGAGGTGCGGGGGTGAGGACGAAGTGGCCCCAACCAGGAAATCGGTCTCGGTGTCGGTTCGTGTCGCACGTGCGGGCGAGGCGAAATTGCGTGAGGAGACGACGTGTCGGCCGTAACCAGGGACACGTCGGACAACAAAGAGGTGATCCTCCCGTCTCGCGGTGACGCGCCGTAGTTGTCCCGTGGTTGCCCCGTGGTTTTTCCGTGGTCGCCCTGTGGGTGTCCCGTGGGTGATCCCGTGAGTGTCGCGTGGTTGTCTCCTAGATTGTCCAGTTGAAGACAACTGCGAGGGTTGTCCCGTGGTTGTGTAGTGGGTTGTCCAGAGGTTGTCCCATGGGCCATCCAGCAGCAGAGTAGGCTGTCGAGTTGCAGACAATTTGGTTGTCGTGTGGCTTGACCCGTTGTGGTGTGTGTGTGTGTGATATTCTCGTGGGCGGTCCATCCGTGTATATATATAGATCTGCATACATACATATACATACACATGTACGTATGTACGCCGTACATGTTTTTAGCCAGCGTGAACCCCAAACAGTATGATGTTGCACCTTCGATGTGCTTCGCATGGTTTCGACAGTTGTGTCATTCGTTGTGCGTGGTGCAAAAACTACGTGACGGTGAGCAGTATGTCGTACACGCTACGTGGTGCCACAAGTGCGGTGCAAGCGTTGCGAGACAAGTTGTGTGATGCAATCCATGTGGTGCACGCTATGCGTTGCAAGCCCCGCGATGCATCTGATGTGTGGTGACAGGTCTGCGGTGGAAGATCTGAGCTGCAAGCTACGTGGTGCAGGCCCTGTGACGCAGGCCATGTGATGTAGTACGTAAGGTGCGTGCTATGAGGAGCGAGCTGTGTGGCGCACCCAGCGCACGGGGTGCAAACGAGGCGCCCACGGGCGGTCACGGGCGGGCACCAGCCGGAACTCCGCCAGACCCAACCCGGCGAGTTGGCTGCCCACGCGCCGCACACGGATGGGCACACCGTCCTCGACATCCGCCCGACGAGCTTTACGACCAAGAAGCGGTGCTTCCCGCTCTTGTTTGGACGGGCTCGTTTGGGGCCCGCGATGGCTCACATCTCATGGCCGTTCCATGAAAGCATGGTGGATGCTTTGCGCGCCTGCTGAAATCAGTGGGAACACCGTGTGAGTGCAGCAATCTCGTCCTGGACCTGCATTCTGATCTCACCGCGCGGTGCCTCGGCGTGGGTCCAGCATGCGCCCGGTTCGCGAATCGATTGGCATCCTTGGGAGGGCAGGTGATTGAACAGCGCGCTCCGATGAGGAGAAGGAGGAGGAGGAGGAGGAGGAGGAATAAGAGGAGAAGGGGGAGGGCGGAGGAAAAAGGAGAGAGGATAGGCAGGCCGCCACAGCGACGCAGCGCACTGCGAGGGATCGAGCAGATGCAGGGGCGACGGCACACAGAACATCGAGTAAGCAGTGGCGGCGGCGGCGCAGCAGCAGCAAGGCGGCGGCGGCGGTGGCGGCGACGTCACTCACGCGCGGCGGCGGCGCAGCGTTGAACGCGCCGCAGGATAGCGGAGCCGCCTGCTTCAGCGGCATGGCGCGCGGGTGCCCGACGACGACGACGACCACCCCCACGAGCCAGACGTACGAAGTGCTGGGGTACGGTCGGGAGTTTGCGCCTCGCGCCTCACGGCGGCGGCCCCGGTGACAAGCTATGTTTAGCGAGGTGATAGCGTGTCGGTCCGCTTCGCGTATGGGAAGCTGGGAAGAGCTCGGGAAACTCACGCCTGGGAGCCGCGACGTGGACAACGTGTCGTGCCCAAGCACGGCAGGCCATAACAGGCACCGCGCCACGCCAAGCCAAAGTTCCCGACCGTATAGTATTCGTTGTTTCTTGTATTGTTGAAAGTGTGACGTCCCGAGTTTCCCTTTTCCAATGCAGGAAATAGGGGAGAATAGGGTGCCTCCTGGGATTTGGGAGAATCTGGGGGAAGGTGGTGCCTCCTGGGATCTGCTTGGAGAATATGGGAGGCTGAGAGGTCGCCGATACGAAGCGCAACGAGCGTGTGCACACGATGGAGCATCACGACCACGACGGCTGGAGAGGGGGGGCGGAGGGATTCCAGGGACGAGTTGTGATGGGTTGTGGTTGTTCCTCCTCCTCCTCCTCCTCCTCATCATCATCATCATCATCATCATCATCCTCCCTTCCCACCTCCCCATCCCCTCCCCTCCCCTCCCTTTACTCCTCCTCCTCCTCCTCCTCCGCATCCCCCTCCTCCTCATCCCCCTCCTCCTCCTCCTCCTCCTCCTCCTCCTCCTCCTCCTCCTCCTCTTCCTCCGTCTCCTCCTCCTCCGCCTTCTCCTCCTCCTCCTCCTCCTCCTCCGCCTCCTCCTCGTCGGGACTTCGGGGTAAAAGCCCCCGCGTTGGGACGGCCCCCAGAGCGGGGTCCCCTTCCCAGGGGCCCCTGGCCACGCAGCCTCCCACGCGAGCCTGGCCCCCTAGCCAGGCGTCACCCGTGCGAGTCGTGGCCAAGGGGCTCGTCTTCTCCCCCTCTTTCGTTAAGTTGGGCGTGTCCCTCTACAGGAGGAAGATTGAAAAATAGTGAAAAATTGTCAGGGGACGATGTCCTGAGTATTTTTTCTTTGGGGCCAATGTTTGAATCATTGCTGTTGTTTTATTTCTCGTCCAAAATCCGCCTGTCGGGGGACATGCCCGACCTGAACCTTCCGCCGTCGCCGTCGCTGTCGTTCGTCGTCGTGTCGTGGTGGGCCTTTGGGGTAGGTGGCGTGTGTTTGGCGGTGGTCTGGCTGTTGCCCATTCTGTCAGGTTTTCACGTGAGCTTATTAGTACCATGCTAGCGCATGGCGTATAACATTATACGTTGAGCTCGCTCCGCGCCTCGAACATGTGGGGTCCTCACTGCCTGGTTGCTGTGATGCGAGCTCACTGCTGCCTCCTCGCAAAGAAACGCGGTGGCATTCGCGTTCATTTCCGGCGCGGGTGAGACATCAGGCCTGATGATAATTCTGAATTGGGTCGCGGAGCTGAGCCAAAAATGGTTTTTGCCTGCAAGCCCAAAGTGTGTTGGGTGGGTAGGCCAAACCCACCCTTAACAGCGTGGCCAGGAGGGGAAACTGCGCTATCGGGGGGAATGCGTTCGTCATCACCACATCATCATCACCAGCAGCAGCAACAGCATCATCATGATAATCGGCATCGGCATCGGCATCACCATCACCACCATCATCATCAGCAGCAACATCATAAGTTTTCTCTCCCCCCTCATCCTGCACCGCCGGCGGCCGAGGTATCCAATGAGATTTCCGCCACCACGGCTTCCTCCCAGCCCGGCGACGCCATGCTCCGCGCAGGAGGAGATCCAGTCGTACCACTTTCTCATCTCATCTCTCTCCCTCTCTCTCTCTCGCTTTGTTCTCTGTCTCTGTCTCTCTCTCTCTTTCTCTCTCTCCCTCTGTCTCTCTATTTCTCCTCTCGTTCACTCTCTCTTCTCCTCTCTCTCTCTCTCTCGTGTTATCTTCCCTCTCTTTTTTTCTCCATGACTGCATGTTTTGTTTATCTCTGTTTCTCGTTCCTCTCTCTCTCTCTCTGTCTCCCTCTATGGGGAGGCGGAGGAGAAAGGACGTGTTCTGCCCCCCCCACGCGGCCTGCAGTGCTCGCAGATTTCGGGGGTGCCACCGCCCGTGCGTCACACTCTGTCCGTCGTGCGCAGCTTCTGTTTCTGCAGGCTCTGCCTGTCTCGCTCCCCCCCCTCTCGTTTTGTTGCTCGTGTTGGTGTCTCGCGTTCCTCGCGCTATCTCTCTCTCTCTCTCTCTGTCTCTGGTTCTCTCTTTCTTTTTGTTTGTGTTCGCTCTTTTTTTTTTTTCTCTCTCTCTCTCTCTCTCTCCTTTGGTTGTCTTGTTTTTCTGTCTCTCTCTCTCCCTCGCTTTGTTTCTCTATATATGTGTCTCTCGTTCTCTCTCTTTCTCTCTGTCTCCATACCTATGTCCATATCTATAGATATGGTTCCCCCTGTGATCATACCTCACTCTGCTTCTCTGTTTCTTCCTCGTTGTCCTCTCTTTTCTCTCTCCTCCCCCTCTCCTCCTCCTCCTCCTCCTCCTCCTCTTCCTCCTCCTGCTGTTCCTCCTCGTCCTCCTCCTCCTCCTCCTCCTCCTCCCCCTCCTCCTCCTCCCCATCTTCCTCCTCCTCTTTGTAGCAATCGAGCACCAATACTAGATACCGTTTGGCGCCCTCGATGCAAGGAAGTACTATGTTCATGTTGGTTGTTTTGTGTTTTGGGCCTGGGATGCAAGGAAACAGTGTGTGTGTGTATGTGTGTTTGGTTGTTTCGTTTTGTTTGGTTTTGCAGGCCCCAAAGCTCGCCGCGGCCCCCCTCCCTGCACCCTTCTCCGCGCCGCCCAGACCAAAACAACACAAACATACTCAGTAGTTGGCGCCCTTGGTGCAAGGAAACACTATGGTTTGTTTGTTCGGTTGTTTGTTTGGGTGTATTTGTGAAGCCACGAAACACTTTGTATGTTTAGTTGTTTGTGCGTGTCGGTTTGGTTTTGCAGGCCCCGGTGCTCGCCGCGGCCTCCCTCGCAGCATTGCCCTATGACTCTACAAAACAAGGCCTCCCTCGCAGTACTGATCCCCAAGCCTGCAAAACCCAACAAAAAACACATACAACAAGCATACACCATTTCCCTTGCATCCCAGGCAAAAATCAACAAATGCACAGCGTTCCCTTGAACGGGTTCAAGCAGAAAGGACAGAAGAGGGAGGAGGAGGAGGGATTCAATTGGATTTGAATCAGTTCCAAGCCGGGGCTAAATATGGAGAGGGGAGGAGGAGGAGGAGGAAGAGGAGGAGGAGGACGAGGAGGAAGCGGAGGAGGAGCAGGAGAAGGAGGAGGAGGATGGGAGGGAGGAGAGATTCCATGTGATTAGCATCCGGCCCTAATAAAAATTCAATAGGGGCGGGGAAGGAGGATGAGGAGGAGAAGGAGGTTAGATGTTGGACTTGAATGAGACCCAAGTTGTAGTGATTCAAGCAGAAAGGAGAGGACAAAGAGGAGGGAGGAGGGATTCGATGGGATTTGAAAAAGATCAACATGCTAGTGCAATAAGGAAAGGGGAGGACAAGGAGAAGGAACATCAGAGGCAGGAGGACGAGGAGAAGTGGAGGAGAGGGAGGAGGGATTCGATTGGATTTGCATAAGATCCAGCTACGGTTTCATTACGAAGTGAGGGAGAGGATGAAAACGAGTCATGCTATGGGATGTAGGCTAGGCCAATAGTGATTTAGTGGAGACAGGAAAGGAGAAGGCAGAGGAGGAGGACGAGGAGGAGAGAGAACTCAAACAGAAACGAGAGGAGACGGAGGAGGGAAGATGGTTTCGATTGGAATTGGATACGATCCAAAGACGAGCTCAATCAGAAAAGGAAATGACAAGGAGGAGGAAGATGAGGAGAGAGAGGAGGATTGATATTGGATCTGAATGAGGCCCGAGTCAGGATTCAATGGGACAGGAGGACGAGGAGAAGTGGAGAAGCGACAGGAGGGATTCGAATTGATTTGCACGAGATCCACCTACGGCTTTAATACGACAGGAGGGAGAGGAGGAGAATGGGGCATGCTATGGGATGTAGGTAAGATCCAAACAGTGATTCAGTAGGGGCACGAGAGGAGACGGCAGAGGAGGATGAGGAGGAGAGGGAGAGGATATCTCTTGGATCGGAGTAGCGCCCAAAGATGACTCACAGTTGTGAAACGGCTTACTTCGGACTCAATGAAAAGATGAGGGTGAGGAGGAGGGGGAGGACGACGAGGACGAGGACTAGGAGGGGGAGAGGGATGAGGAGGATGATGAGGAAGAGAAGAGGAATGAAGGGGAAGAGGATGAACATGGAGTCGAAATGTATGATCACAGGGTGGGAGGTGGCGATCATTGTTTATATATATGTATATAGATGTGTGTGCGTGTATGTGTGTGTGTTGCACCCTTCCCCCATCGCGCTCCCTCTCGCTCTCTTGCGTTGTCTGTTGTGTTTGCTCTCTCTCTCTCTATTGACATCGATCGGTTCTTCTATGTATACGTAAGCTTGTCTCGTATTATATGTACTAGTTTGTGTGCATGTTTGTATGGTTACATACAGGTAGGCACTACGCGTGCTGAATCATAGTAGATGCATAGAGCTTAAATTTATACACATATATATATATATGTACACATGTGTGCATAAGTATGTATATCTATAATTTCATGTTTACACAAATACATGTGTGTATGCAGTCGAACACACATGCTTATACGTGTGTGTGTGTGTGAGAGAATACGTGTGTGTCTATACAAAAGTACATGTGTGTATGCAGGCGGAAATAAATGTGTGCATACACATTTGTATACATATTTTTACACGTGTATGCACACGCGTGTAATGCAAATGTGTAGGTTCGTGTAGCTGCATACACCCAACCAGTGTGTACATGTGCTGGCCGTGTCTGCGCACCCATATCTGAACGGGAATGGTCTTGTACAGCGAACTGCTTTGTTGTACATGCGTTTGTTGTGTTTGCATGGTGTGTCTTCCCTCCCGCCGAACGCCGTCGTGTTCGCATGACTGCTGCACCATCGGGCCGCCGCGGTCCAAGGCCGAGCTGTTTCTTGCGCGTGCAGCTCTTTGCTGGTAGCCACTCACCGTACGGTTCTGCTTGCCAGCTTTTTCCGCCGTGTTGCATCGTTCTGTGGATTAGTTGGCGTCCCTTGCGGAAGATGCAGAATTGGCCGTTGATGGCAAAAATGGTTGGACCCCACTGGATGCAAGCTGGCTCTGACGAAAAAAGGCGTCACGTCTTCCCATCTCCTGCTGGAGCTCAGTAAGCCATTCATCGTGGTTTTGACGGCCAAGCTGCTAGTTGCTGGGCGCAGGCAACGAAGTACCAATTGCTGCGAGTGGGAGAAGCTCAAGGGTTACAGCTCTCACAGACAGAACGCATTGCGAGGCACAGCGGTGATGGGCCTACATCTCTGAGTTATATTGTCAGTCGCACACGCTCATACCTTCAGAACCATGTTCACCATGCAACGCAGGCGCTCTCACCAATCAACGCTCTCCCTCTCAATACTCTTCTTCGTTATCTAGCCCTTGTCTGTCAGAAGTTTACTTGTCGTGACAGGAAATCTAGAACGTGCTGCGCGCGTAAGCATGCACAGCACCTGTTTAAGACCTTTCCACTGTCTGGCAGTCCGTGCCCTCTTGGGGCAATGTTCAGGGGCTGTTGCTCGCCAAGTTCGATAGACAAATCACACTTGGTGGTAAGAGCCAGCCCGACGAGGCGAATGCATGACGTGGTCTGTGCCCTGCCTGGAGGCCCTGGCAGAAATGGAAGCAAACATGGAAAGCAACAAGGCAGAAATGGAGTCGATGCCCCATACCAAGCAGAGTGGAAGAGCCACCCTTGGTGGCAAGCGCCGGCCCGACGCTACGACTGCATGACGCGGTCTGTGCCACTCCTGGGGGGGGGCCTGGCAGTCCTCAGCGCCAGGCGGGAGGGCAGAGAGCGGAGCGGCGGCTCGGCTCACGAGCTCGACGACAGGACCTGCCCACCCCACAATTGAGGCGCCCCCGCACTTGAAGCGCCTCGGGGTGATGACGAGAGGCCCGTGCTCCTTCAAAGAGCGGGGCAGAAAGACCCTCGAGTCGTGCCGCACTGGTGATTTTAAGCAGTTCTGGCTGGTGTGCCACCAGTGAGCCATCATGAAGCCACGCTGCAATGGCAAGTGTTGCTTCCACGCCAGGTCCTGACTCCTTGAGGTCTCTGGAGGCTTCCGGAAGCCCCAGGATGCCCCCGAATACCAGCAACGCCAGAAAGCTTCCCCCACACGTCCGAAAGCACGCTGCACGTCGATCAGCGAGGGTCGAGGGAAAAGCTTACCATAAGGCGATCCCTCACGAAGGTGTCTCTGCTGTGGTGCTTGCAGTGGCGAGGGGGAGGGGGGCGCAGGAGACCATGGATGCGCGGGATCTGAGCGGGAAGGAGGACGACTCGTCTTCGGAGGACGCGTCCGAGGAAGCGCGCTGCTTCCTGCTTCTACCATTAAGTCGGGCCTGTCCCTCTACAGGAGGGATATTCCAGCATAGTCACAAAATAGTCTGGTTTTAGTATTTATGTGCCATTTTGGAGCATTTCTGGGGTATTTTTTATTTTCGTCGAAAATCCCCCTGTAGAGGGACACGCCCGACGTAATTCCACCAGCCGGAAGCATATCCCTATTCCCACGATGGGCATCACAGCATCCCCATGCCTCCCGTAAGGACTCCCTCAGTTTCTGTGGGCGCGTCCCTGAGATTGGCATCGCCTTTCGGCTTGTCGATCTTGGGGATGGGGATAACTTCGAGGGTGGATCTGCTTTTCCTCCTGCCCCCCACGCAACAGGAGGAAGGGGAGCAAGAGAAGGACGAGGAGGATGCCGATGAGTTGAAGGACGGGGGTAGGATGCGGGAGGAGGAGGCGGCAGCATCGTGCATTCCGACGATGCGCGCACCGTCTCCGGCGGGCGCTGGCCAGCACGGGACTGCAGCTTGGGGGATGGCAGGCAGAGAAGGCGGATCGGGCGGGCGGCAACGGGAGGGCGAAGCACGTGTGGAGAACAGGTTTTGCAGGAAAGGGGCCTGGCATGGGCCCCGAAGGAATCCTCAACCAGGGTCCGTTTCGATCCGATTCGATCTCGAGTTCGGCCAGCCCGATCCGATTCGATTTCGGTGCTCGGGCGACCCGTTGTGACCCGACGATTGCATGGCGCTGTTGTGCATCCTAGCGCAGCCGATCATATTCAATTTCGACTCAGTGCCGATGCGGACCGATGAAATGCATGTTCCGATCCGATCTGGTTTCCCGATGATATGTTTAAGTCGGGCCTGCCCCTCTACAGAAGGACTATTCAAAAATAGTTACAACATAGTCTGGTGACGATCTGTTTGAGTACCTTGTGGCGTTTTCGAACAGTTCTTGAGTTGTTTCTTATGTTTCGTCCCAAATCCGCCTGTAGGAGGACACGCCCGGCCTAACTCTATGCTGGTCTTGCCCAAACTGCCACCGCGGGCCCAAGAGGTGCACTGTTTCCCCCCCCCCCCCCCCGTTTGTGGCCCCCCTGTTCGCGGGCACCCGGGTGGACCAGGCTCAAGACCTCGGAGGTTCCTTTGCGCGTTTCTGGCGGTCCTCGTCGCCTCCCGCACGGTCCTGCGAAGGGGTTCGATGATCCGTGGTCGGGCGAGGCCCGCTTGGTGCCAGGGTGGGGCTTGGGACTGGGAGGGATGAAACGGGATGCAGGGCGGCAGGGGCGAAGAGAGAGAGAGAGAGAGAGAGACACAAGCACACACGCACATACGCACCAACACAAGACACACACGCACAACAGACACACACACACACACAATACACACAACACACGATTCACAACACACAACACACACAACACACAATGCGCACAACACACAACACAGACAACACACAACAGACACACACGCAACACACAACACTCAACACAGAACACACAGCACACAACACACAATCCACACAATCCACACAACACACACATGACACACAACACACAACACACAACACGCAACGCACAACCCACAACACACATAACACACAATACATACCACACTACACATCACACACCACACACAACACACAACGCACACACGCACAACACACAACACACAACACACACCATACAACAGACACACCACACACACACACGACACACAAACCACACACACAGTACACACAACACACAACACACACACACAACACACAACACGCAACACGCAACATACGCACACACCACACACAACACACACAACCCACACACAACACAACTCACACAACACGCAAAACACACGACACACACACCACATACCACACACCCACAACACACACTAAACAGCACACAACATACACAACATACACAACACACATCGCACGCAACACACACAACACACACAAACACAGAGACAATTCACACAACGCACACAACACAACACATACAACACACACCACGCAACACATAACACACACCACACACACCACACAACCCATACACACCATACAACACACAACACACACCACAGATACCACACACCACAAACAACACACACACCACGCAGTATATTGCACACACCGCACACCACACAACACACAACACACAGCCCACACCACACACCACACAACACACACCACACAACGCACAACACACAGCACACAACACACAGCACCCAACACACACTACACAACACACACTACACACCACACAGCCAACAACACACAACACACAACAAGCAACTCACGACACACAGCACACAGCACACAGCACAAAACACACACCACACAACACACAACACACAACACACAACGCACAACACCTACAACCCACCACGCAACACACACCAGACAGCACACAGCACACAACACACACCACACCCACACACACAATACACAACACACAACGCACAGCACACAACACGCAACACACACCGCACAAGGCGCAACGCGCAACACACAACGCAAAACGCACAACGCACAACACACACCACACAACACACAGCACACAGTACTCAACACACAACGCACAACGCCCACCGCACATTTAGAAACGCACAACGCACAACACACAGCACGCAGCGCACATCACACAACACAAAACACGCACCACACACCACACAACACACACACACAACACGCACACAACACACACCACACACACAACGCACAGCACGCAGCACAGCACACTGCACACAACGCACAACACGCAACTCCCATCACACAAAGCACAACACACGACTCACAACGCACAACCCACAACCCACAACACACAACACACAACACAACACACAGCACACACCACACACAACACGATTCACCACACCGCACACAGACCACAACACACAGCACACAGCACACCCAACACACCCAACATACCCAACACGCAGCACACAGTACACGACCCACAACACACAACATACAACGCACAACACACAACTCACGGCACACAGTTCACAACACCCACCACACAACGCACCACACAGACCACACCACACATCGCACAACGCACAACCCACGAGACACAACGCATACAACACACTAAACAGCACACAACACACAACACACACATTACACAACACACAGCTCACAACACACAGCACAACTCACAGCACACAACACACTGCACACTACACACAACACAACTCACAACGCACAGCGCACAGCACACCAAACACAACACACAACACACAACACAGAACACGCAACACACAACACACAACACACAACACGCAACACACAACACACAACACACACAACACACAGCACACAACACACAACACACAACCAACAACACACAACAAACAACGCACAATGCACAACACAACGCACAACGCACAACACACACCATACACCACACCACACACCACACACCACACAGCACACATCACACAGCACACAACACACAACACACAGCTCACAGCACACACCACACACCACACACCACACACCTCACAACACACAACGCACAACACATAACACGCAACACACAACCCAGATAGCACAACGCACGCCACACAGCACACAACATACAACACCCAGCAAACAGCACACTGCACACAACACACACCATACAACACATCACACACATTATACACCACACAACACACCGCACACCACATACAACACGCAACACACAACACACAGCACAACACAACACCCACAACTCACGATACACAGCACACAGCACACAGCACAACACACATCCGCACACACGCACAACAATTTACTCTAAACAAGCAATACGCAACACACGACAGACCGAACACACACACACACACACACACAACACACACACACAACACACACACAGCACACACAACTTTCACAATCCATACACATACAACACGCACACAAAACACACACAGAACACACGCAAATCACACACACACACACACACACAAAACACACATATATACACACACTCACACACACACACTTGCAGCTGGAAGGTGTGCATTCCACGACGGGAGCGCCTGCTGCACCTCGGAGGACCAGGGGAGTGGTGCACGCCGTGTGCGAGCACCGCGTGCGGGAGGCACGTCTGGTGAGGACGGCGGCCTTGCAGCGTACCGCCCCTGGCGGGGCCCCCGTGGCTTCAGGAGGTCCTCCCAACGCGCTGCGCGGGGCCGCCCGCGTCGAGCAGCGGACGCGCCGACGGTGCGCCCACCCCCCCTGGCTGCGACAGCGATCGCCTCCACGAGCCCAGCACGGGCCCTCGGCGTAGGAGCGCGCGCACGAGGTCGGGGGCCTGGGGCGGGCGTGCGGGGGCTGCGCGGGAGCGGGGGCTGCGCGGGAGCGGGGTTGGGGCACAGCTGCCCTGTCTCGAGGAAGAATAACAATGACAGCCAGAAGCATCAACTCTTCGCGCTCCGCGTGGACTTCCTGGATCCGCGCTGGGAACCCCCTGGCGGCGCCTCCGGCGCCGCCCCTGGCGCGCTCCGCGCGCCAGGGATGGGGTCGGCGCGGATCGGAGAAGTCCGCGCGGAGCGCCAAAAGCGCATGTTTCTGGTATTTTATCTTCTGCTGTCACCCCGCGCCCGCCCTCCCGTTTGGGCACGGACCGTCTTGGGGGTCGCGCTCCGCGCTGTGTTTCGAGCGGTTGTGCGCTGACGCCTCCGCGAAGCTTCCTCCTGTGTTGCGAGCAGCGACCGAAAAAAAGAAGGACGAGGTCGGGAGCGAGGGTTGGCCCTGCCACCTTTTGTGGGTCAGGAGGGGGAGGAAGAAAAAACAGACTCCATTGATGAACGACTCCCAAGAAAAATGTATGGGAAAATATGGAAGTGGGGGGGAGACGAAAACCCACCGAATATGGGAGAAGGTGGGGAGTCCTGGGATTTGCGTGTATTGATTTGTTGTGTGTCACTGGGCCCCTGTTGTGGGGCCTATGGCTGGCGCGGAGGCAGACCATCCGCCCGGGCGTCGCCAAGCTCGGCAGGAGGCCCGGCGCCGGCCGCCATTCGGCAGCGAGCGAGGGGGCGGGGCATAAATTTTTGGCGCTCCGTGCGGATTTCTTGGATCCGCGCTGGGCCCCCCCTCCCTCTTCCCTCGAGGATGAAACAGCAGCAGAAACATAAACTTTTGGGGTGCTCCGCGCGGATTTCTTGGATCCGCGCTGGGCCCCCCCGGAGGTGCCTCTGGCGCCGCCCCTGGCGCGCTCCGCGCGCCACGGAGGGGGTCCAGCGCAGATCCAAGAAATCCGCGCGGAGCGCAAAAAGCGTATGTTTATGGCATTTGTTTCTTTTTCTAGGCCTTCTCAGAATGCGGCGGGACATCTCAGAAGCCCCCGCGCCTTCTGAAAAGCTTTTGGGCGCCTGCGGGAAAAAGGCTTAAAATACTTCCCAGGACTGTCAGACAACGATGTTGCGCGGCGAGCGAGGGGGGAAAATGAGAAGGGCAGGGAGCCCAGGGTCACTCTGGCGGGTAGCCGAAGTCCAGGTCCCCCCCCCGCTAGCACGCCGCAGCCACGCCCCGTCGTGCCTGGCATCGGCCCAGCGTCGCGAGACGCGCCCGCCGTCCGGAGCCGAAGGTCCTCCGGAGGCACGGGGCCGGGTCCGGTGTGCAGCATTTGAGCCAAGATGGCTACGGGAAAGACGGAGAGATCGGAGGAGGAAAGGGTACACGCCAGTCGTTGAGAGTCGGTATGTTTTCATCCCAGGATTCCAATCGACCTTGCCGCCTTCCTACCTCAAGAGTCGAACGGCGGCGCTTCCCGCACCGCCCCTGGCGCGCTCCGCGCGCCAGTGGAGGGGGGTCAGCGACGACCCAAGAAGTTCGCGTGGACCTCCGAAAGAGATGTAGATTTTCATCCATAGAAGTACGCGTCTGGAATATCACTGTCGTCCCTTCGTTTGTACATGATGATCTGATTATTACAGCCGTTGTCTGGGAATCACGGGACAAACAGAAGTATAAATACACCCTGTTTTGTCTTGACAGGCCATGATCCTCAAAAGATCGGCCGGCTGGGCTTGGCGGCGAATATCGGCCGTCGCAATGTCTGCCGAACTCGCCTGGGCCCGGACCGCATAGAATGTGAGCGCCGCCAAGGTGATTGTTTTTTTAATAATCGTGGTTTGCCGAACGGCGCAGGGCCCTCGAACCCCCCTCCCCCCCCTGGAGCCAGAGGACGCACTGTCGCAAACAGTCGCGCTCAGCAGGTCTGGAGCCAGACCCGCCCCCCTTTCCGCCCAATGTCGAAACGCCGAGTAAAAAGAACGCTCACAAGTTGCGGTGGCCCGAGGTTTCGCTTGCTCTTTGGGTCGGGGGCGGAACCTGCGCGAGAGCGCCCGCCCGGCCTTGCTGGCGACCCGCGAGGGCCCAATCGGGCGGGGCCAGCTTGGCCGACCGACCCCCCAAAAGTTGATTCGCAGGTCGTTTTCAGTCGGGCCTGTCTCTATACAGGAGGAAGATCCAAAAATAGTCGAAATAGTAGTATGGGGACGATTTCGTGAGTATGTTTGAGCATTGTTTGAATATGTGTTGATTATTTTTTGATTTGTCGTCCCAAATCCGCCTGTAGGGGGACATGCCCGACCTGACGGTAGTTTGTGACTGTTGCGTTTTCCGAGGGTCTATTGTTTTGTTTGCCCCCACGGGGTCCAGGGTGATTGTCGGACCTCGCTTTCAAGGGTCTAAACCTTTAGGGGGCCCTTCGTGATCGTCGACCTGGCGCCCGCGCCCCTGGCGGGCGCCGCGAACGCCTGGGGCCCAGCCTTCGGGAGGCGGCGAACGATTTCGACTCCACCTTCCTGCCGTGCAGCACGCTTCCCCGGGCGTTTGCTTCGCCATGGAGCAAGCGGTATTCACTTGCCTTGGTGGGGCGACCTCCATTGCCATTGGCATTGGAGGGCCCTGATGGGGAAGGGAAGGGAGGGCACCGCGCTATGCAGAAAAGATTACAAAACACAGAAACCAAGTTCATTGATTTGTCGCTGCTTAGGGAAGCTGCCGAGTTCGATGCAGCGCACGCTGGGCAGGAAGGTAGCATATCGGGGTTGGAGAAATACGTCACCACCCCCGCCTCCCCATCCTCCCGAACCATAATCCTTCTCCCCCAGCTTGCGCGCCCCTGGATCAGATGGCGAATAAGGGGTTGCGATTTTGCGTGTCCGTGCGGGGATGTATCCGCCCCTTCATCCAGGTCACCCACGGGAGCGCGAAAAGTAATGCCTTTCTGGTCATCCTTCGCCTCCGAGGCCGCGGCAGCAAACTTCGTTGCGGGGGTGGCTCCACTTTTCCCGAGCTCTGGACCGGCCGGTCGGAGCGCGAGCGCCAACACCCCGGCACGCGGCCCGCTCGGCCAGAGTTCTTGGCGATGGAGCTTGTCCAGTGCCCGCCTGGCTTGTCGTTTCCGGCCGTGGCCGAGAAGCCGAGGAGCTGGTCGAAGGGCGTGCCGGACATGGTGCTGCCGCAGCGGTGGACATCGGCCGAGGAGTTGGCTGCGAAAAGAGTGAGTCCCGAGGGAAATCGGGGAACAAGCACTGACGTAAAGAGATAAATGCTCGGAGGTCCGCGCGGACTCCTCGGATCGGCGCCGGGGCCCCCTGGCAGCGCGCCTCCAGCGCCGCCCCTGGCTCTGACGCGCTCCGCGCGCCAGGGAGGGGGGTCCAGCGCCGATCCGAGAAGGCCTCGTCGACCTCCGAGATTTGGTGTTTCAGGCATTGTTTGTTCCCCTAGAGTTGGCTGCGACGAGAGGGGGTCTTGGGAAGGCAGGTCCCTATGGATGTTCCTCGCAGACTTCTCTCGCTTCCCCGGGGGCCCCCCCAGGGGCAGTCAAGGAGCAGCGGCCCAAAGCTGGCCCTGGGGGAGAGCCCCCAGGGCCCCGGACCAATCACCATCCTCCTCCTCTTCCTTCTTCTCCTCCTCCTCCTCCTCCTCCTCCTCAGTCCCTCACCCCTCCTCCTCAGTCCCTCACCCCTCCTCCTCACCCCTCCACTTCCTCCCCCTTCTTCTCCTCCTCCTCCTCCGCCCACGTTCTCCCCCTCATGCTCGGAGGAGCCGGTACAACAATACAGTTGCGGCTCTACCGCCCGACCCGCATACGTTGAAAATCAGTCCGCGGACCTTTCCAGCAGTGGCGACGAGAAGCCTCCAGGAGTCCCAAGCGAGCAAAAACAAAACCCAGGGAGGGCCGCCGTTATCTCGGCCGGTGCCCCCCTGATATGCCAAGGCAGGGGCCATTTCGATTCTGGCGATCCGAATCGATTCGGTTTCGGGGATGCCGATATCAATTCGATTCGACTTCTGGGTTCCGACTTCGATTCGGGATTCTTCGAGTATGCCTCCGCTTGGGCCCACGGATGTTCGTTCTGGTGCCTTCCCATCCGCCTGCTGATTTCTGCCGACCCGATGTATTTCGATGTTCCGATTCCGATGTTCGATGTTGGGTTGTCTTGCCAAGGATCGGCGGCGAGCAAGGGGGGGAAGTGAGAAGGAGGAGGCCTTCTCAGAAAGCGGCCTGGTTCCTCGGAAAGTCCTCTGGTCTGCTGAGAAGCTTCTCTTGTGCCTTTTTTCCGGGATTTCCGAGCCTTCTCTGAGAAGGCCCGCCCCCTCTGCTGGTGGTTTTCGGGCCATAACTCGGGTCCCTGGTGGCCGTTCGGGGCGATCCGGGCACCCGGCGAGGTGCAGCTGCTGGACGGCATCCGGGGGCTGGAACATCTCCGAGAACCGACGACGACGCCCGAGAACGTCGAAGCTCGAACGTCGAGCTGCTCCCCCGCGGGCACACCGCCGAGAGGAGCTGGCCGTGTGCCTGCCCGGCATGCTGCTCTCCATCTCCTCCAGCCCGGAGCTGGCCCCGACGAGGCTTAAGTCGGGCACGTCCCTCTACAGGAGGGATGTTCAAAAATAGTTAAAAGTAGTGTGGTGAAGATTTGTTGAGATTTTTTTGACTTCTTTTGGATACTTTTGATTTGTCGTCCAGAATTCGCCTGTAGGGGGACACGCCCGACCTATGAATAGGCGAGCCTCGACGCCCTGGCCCTCGCGCGGCATCCTCCGCAGGCGCAGCGAGCTCGCGCCCTCGCCCCGGCTGCTCGACGACGGGCTCGACGCGCCCTCGCCGAGGCCCGCGCACGCGCCGGCGTGCCTGCCGGGCATGGTGTCGCCCCGGGAGCTCGGAGAGAGCAAGCAGCTAAGCGGTTGCATTCCTCCCTCCTCCTCCTCCTCCTCCTCCTCTTCCTCCTCCTCCTCCTCCTCGACCCAGCCTGAACGCGAACGAGTTCGTCCGCGCCACATGCCACTTGCGCCACCGCATGGCCAAAGCCAGAGGCGGGTGGCGCCTCCCGAAACAGTGCGACCCATCAAGTGGGCTGCACGCCCTGATGACTGGCGGTGCGCAAGGGTTCGACAAGGTACTGCCAGACACGGTTGACTTGGAATCTGGCAGGCGAGCAGGTGAGGCCAGCAAGCACACGGGCACCCCAGGTGCCAGGTGCAGGAGGACCTCGACAGCCAAGAGACAGGTTTGCAGAGATCTTGATCTCTCCCAGCCCACACACCACGCACACAGTACACCACAGCCTCCGCCCCCCGTCTCCAGCAACGGCGAAGGGATGCATCACGTGCGCCCTCTCGTCGGCGAGCTGCACACGCACAGAGGCCAAATCGGCTCTTGAGAGACTGCGCGGTACGACGGGCAACGGTGGCTCAACAATTTGGCCAGGCAGGGGGCGATCCGCACTCCCTTTGCTTCGAGCAGCGCACAACTTCTTTGAGACATGCACGCAGTCTAGGTCACACATACGTGGGCCTATGCGGGCAACCCGGCGAGCCCACCTAGAAATGACCAGGGCCTTGGCCCTATGAGTCTCACGGAGCTCAGAGGGAACTCGGGCACTTGAGGCAACCCACTGGGCACAGTCGTCCGCGTGCACATTGCCTTCTTTTCAAAGCGCGAAGAAAGACCAGACTGGATGCGGGCCTCTGTACAATTCCCTTTGCGGATCACGATGTTATCAGCTCCACCCCAGTCTGCGATGCGCTGCCACACCTGGACCCACAGCTCAGACCATACGGCGCGCGAAAAGCAGCAAAAAGCCTGACCACGCAGACGGACTCCGTCGTGCACAAACGCAGAGTCCGTGTAGAAAGTACTGCCTGGCATGCTGTGTTGCAGAGCTCGATATAAAGCAAACAGTTCAGCGTAGTCAGTGTCTTGACTGACGTGCGCCGCCGTGCCACACAACACAGACTTGACATGATATGGGTACTCGGGCTGCAAACTGACTATGGCCCATCCGACTGCTTGCGCATGTGACGGCAGGTGCTGGTCCATCCACCTGCCGTCCATGAGGACATGTCCTGACATCTCAGTGGGGCCTCCACCAAACCACCTGTCGGGCAGGGAGGTGGCAGGAGGAAAGGGGGCGGGGTCTACACGCGCTCTGACCACGGAATCCAGAAACACAGGCGCGGCTTCACCAGCAGCGATGTCGTGGTGGCCTCCGCAGCACGCATGCCTGTGAAGCAGCGTGCCAGGAGCCTCGCGACACAACTGACAGTGAGGCTCGGCCGTGTAGTGTGCCATCCAGTGTCTATGCTGAGGCCACTGGCCTCCACACATGGCTCTCCTAAGATAAGCCTTCTCGTCGGCCCGCAAGGCTTTAGAGGCTAGCAGGCTGCGCAGAGGCTGAAGGTTGCACCCGAGAGAGAGAGAGAGAGAGGGAGAGAGAGAGAGAGAGAGAGAGAGAGCTCAGGGACTCCTTCTCTGGAGGCCACTTTCTTCCATAATCGCTGCTGCACAACATCATTGAGCCACTTACTGACAGTGCGTGGGCCGCAGAGCTGCACAGAGATCTCGCCCGCAGTGGGGTGTCGCCACACAAAATCTTGCACGTCTATGCCGAGGCGCAGCGCCGTGGCTGCACAGGCAGAAAAAGGGGCCTCGGATACTCGCCCAAGGGTTGCCGTTGCCACGAAGCCTGCCAACCACATCTCGCAACCCCTGCGTGAGCTTCGCATGCGGCTACCATCGCTCCCAAACTGCGGTGGCTAGTTGAAGCAGCGGCGCGCACTGCAGCTCAAACGCAGGGTCGACACCACGGCGCTCACTAAGCATAAGCATCGGAGTGACCGACTTACCGTCTAAAGTGTGTGTGTCTGTCTGAAAGCAGTGCCTGCAGTGCCAAAATCCTTGCGCCCGCATGCAAACGAAGAAAGGGAATCATTGCGAAACATGTTGCGCAGCTGGCGCTTGCGCACACAACTGGACACACTGGGTAGCTTGCGCTCTCGAGCACACGCAGGCTGCTTGCGGCTGGCGCGCGCATACCGCTTGACGTTTTTGTTTTTGTGTTTTCCCCCCAGCGGCGAAGTCGATCTCAAGATCCCTCTCAGCGCGAGTGCCCTTGAGCCTAACGTAGCGGAGCTTGGCCACGAGGCACTCACGGAGGTTGGCTGAGGAGGCCACAGCACGAGATTTTTTTTGCGGCAACAGGCAGACTGACTTTGCTAAGTTGCACGTGTAGCTTGCGCGTGGCTCCAGCCAGCTCGAGCACCACATCTTTTTCTCGCCCAGGCCTCTGCAGCGAAATCATCGACCATGCTGCCAAGATGCACGCGGGGAAAAGGAAGCCTGCGCTGCGTCCAGGGGCGCCAGAAGCACCAGCTGCAGCTTTAGGGTTGCAAAATTGCAGCCTGGAAGAACGGCCTGCAGAGCGCGCGCAGGAGTAGAGGCAGCATCGCCAAGGGCGAGCGCGCGAGGGCAACGACATAGCTCGACCAATAGCTCGAGCTGCCGCGCAGAGAACCTCGTGCGCAGCGCTGCCTGCAATAGAGCATCATGCTTTATATGCTCGAAGGCCTTGGCTAGGTCGAGGAGGATGAGGACGCTTGAGAAACCTTTCGCGCGACCCCACTCGGCGCTGCTGGCTTGGGTCCAGACCAACTTGTCAGACGACCGCCCAGCCGTGGGCCACCAACAACTGTGGTCACGCTGCTGCTGCCACGCTGATACAAGCGATTTCCTCAGCCGTCTTTGAAAACGCGGTAGAATGTTGGTGACGCGGAGTGGGGTCCGCTCTCCTGCGCGCGATGGGGGCATCTGTGGGAAATCTACGCGGTACTTGCACGGTGCGATACTCGAGCCCGGCCTGCGGTAGCGACGGCAGCGTGGGCACAACAGGAAAGTGAGGCGCCGCGCCAGCATCCGAAACGATCTCAAGAGTGGCATTGTGCGCTAGCGACTGCGAAACGACGAAATAGTCAATGGTGCGCCCAGCAGAGGCAGAGGCATTGGTGCAGGCGGCGGCAGACGGGAAGAGACAGACCCCGTCAATCGCCTCGACCCACAGACTGCCCTGAAGCTCCTCAGGCGGTATCTGAAGATCACCACAAATCACAAACGGTAAACCGACAGACTGGGCAACCCGCCCAACATCTCTGAGGATGCTCTAGGTTTTCTTGGAAAGCCCTCCAGAATGGTGCAAATACACATTGACCCACAAGAACCCAAGGAGCGCGAGCTCATGACTATGCAGCATTCTCTCTCTACCGTTACGCAAAGAATTGTCAACGCACTCAACCTCGGCCAGCCCTGATGCGGCTGGGACACGCTGCAGCAGTCCGCCTGTGGTGCCACCGCTCGTAGTGACAGCGGCGGCAGCGATGGCAGCCTTCCAACCTAGGACGCGGAGCTTGTGCTCCCATGTGTCAAGCTGAGCGCACAACATGCGATGCTCCTGCACAGCGATGGCGCGCGCACCACGAATACGATCATGCATAAGCGCAGCCTCCAATCCGCTGCGCCTTGAAACGTTGACAGTGACCAAACTCAGGCTAAATATCCGCTTCAGCCACGCCATCCACGCGAGCCTTCTTCTTGGCAGCCTCCACGAGCTGGTCGAAGATGCCCTTGGCCAACTCGTGCTTGACTCCTTGCTGCTCAGCTGCGTCGCGTGCTTCTTGCCCCTTGCGCTGTTGCTCGATCCAGCGCAGGAGCTCGGCGTGCGACTGCTGGGCTCTTGCTCACGCCGCGGCGGCATCCGCGGCGGCGGCGCCGGCGGCGCGCTGCGGCTCGGCCTCTGCCTGCGCCATAGCGCCAGCCTCGCGCTCGCGGGCGATGGCGGGAGTGGCCGGAGCAACGGCGGCTGCAGGCGCAGCGGCGGCAGCAGGAGACGCAGCGCCGCCTGGAGCAGCCACAGGCGGTTCACCTGCATCGCCATCGGCGAAGATGGCGTCGGGCTCGATTGGCTTTGACAGCTCTTGCAAGGCGGGCGCCAGCGCCTGCAGCTGCTGCGCGAAGGCCGCCAGTCTGGGGCCCGCCTTGAGCTCGTCCGCCAGCGCCGAGAGCGCGATTGCAGGGCCGGTGCTCGAGGCCATGCCTTGGTAGGCCTTGGCTGCCCGCGCTGCGGCCTCCGCGCAGCGCTCCTTGGCCTCGTCGAGCTCCTGCTCGGCAGCCGCCGCTGTCGCCGCAGCCTTGAGCGCCGCCGCCTGAGCACGATCGTAGGCCCGCTGGGCCTTGTCGCGCTTGTCCGCTAGGACGTCCTGCTCGATCCTTGCCGAGCGCGCCTCGGCGCGTGGCTCCCCAGCCAGCAGCGCGTGGTGCGCGACCACCTTGGCGACCAGCTTGGGCGTCCACTCCGTCGAGACCGCCGCGATGTCCGCGGCCTCGAGCTTCGCGCAGATCTCGATGGCCGCGGGATCCAGGAAGGGGACCTTTGCCCTGCGAGGAGGCGCCCTTGCCGCCACCAGCGCCGCCTCCACGTTGGCCGCCGCCGCCTGCCTGGGGCGGCCGTTGCAGCCATGCGCCGAGGGTGCGCGGGCCCGCCGCCGACGCCGCCGGGCCCGAAGGCGCAGGGCGGCCGCGCGCTCGGCAGTGCGTGCGCGAGAGGAGGTTGAAGCGGTAGCCGCACCGCTTGTGCTGACACTGCCAGGTGTCGAAGGAGCCGCCGCCATGCCGCTGCGGGGGCATTCGAGCTTGACGGGTCGGGGAGGAAAGAGATGCCAAAAACCCTCGTCTGACAGGACGACGAGGCGTGACTGTAGGGGCCGTCGCTCCCCCCGCGCCAGCGAGGTCAGGTCCAGTGCCAAAACACTACGGACTTGAGCCAACATGGCTACGGATCTCCTCCTCCTCCTCCTCCTCCTCCTCCTCCTCCTCCTCCCCCTCCTCCTCATCCTCCTCCCAGCTGGTCGCGGGTGTGGCGCCCCCACCAGCTCTCAGGAGGCAGCCCTGAGCATCAGCCCCACAAGTCATGTACCAAACCGAATCCGCTGTGGGGCGTTGCACGGATATTCCGGGAATGCCTAAGCGCCCCCCAGGCCGGATCATTCACCCACGGGGGGAGGAAGGAAGAGGAAAAGGGAGAGCGCCGCAGCAGGGGCGGCCAGGCGAGGGTCGGAAAGGAAGAGGAAGAGCGGTCGGGGAGCGGGGGGCGGTTGGGACGGTAGAAGAGGCCGTGGCGGACGTCGACGTCGCCGCCGCGGGGGCGGGGGACGAGGGACGGGGGGTGGATGCTTTAGGCAGTCGTCGTCGCCGTGGTCGGCCACTGCGTCGCTGCGATTTCTGCTGCTGCTGTCGCCGCAGCGCTGCCCGTGATGTCGGCGCTGCTGCACGGGTGCCCTGGCGAGGGCTCACCCGCTGCAGTCGTCGCGCGAACTCTGCTGGAAGGTGGCGCGCCCCTGCGGCGGCACACTCTTTGGCTCGATGGGCACTCATTGGCCGAGTGCGCTGAGCAGCAACTCCGCGTTCCCTGTCTGGAGGTGCGTGCTTAGCTGTTGCCACGCGAAACGAATGACCTCCGTTCGGCGGGCAGGGGCCATGCCGTGTGCCCACGATCGCACGTAGGCATCAGTCTCCTCGCCAGGCCGCCCACCAGCCTCGAACATGAAAGGGACCAGCTCCCCTCCGTGCGGCGGGTACCGCAGGTGCTTGGCATCGGCTGCGTTCCGAGCCGCGAGCCCATCTCGGCCAGCACAGGCCTGCTGGTGCGACAAGTCGTCGCTGTGTGCGCAGGTCACGCTAACGTCCAAGAAAACTGGCTGCCCCGTAATGGCGTCACGGGTGGCCACGTCTAGTCTCGCCTCCTCCAGCGCCCCCGAAGCGTTCACCCTGTCCCAGGCCAAGATACGCTTCTCGGTAACCACGGTGAAACCAGTCACCTTCTGGTGGTAGGAGCTGCAGAAGTCCCGAACCCCGTTGCGCCGTCGGTTGCGAGCTGGCCCGCAAGGGCACTTGTGGGCATGCTTGCCCCGAGCGTCCATGGCCTGACCACACACTCTCCCATCCGCCCGGCGCTGTTGACATGTGGTGCCAGGCTCGCAGAGCCGCTTGCGGACCCTGTCCGCGAGCGCCATCAGAAAATGGTCAGCGGGCATTAGAGCTGGCTCCAGTCCCTCACGGTGAATCGGTTGCTCCAGGAAGCAATTGGCGCCCGGGCCGCCAGTTGACCGCAGGTCAACCTGGTCGTCCCCGCTCTAGCTCGCCAGCAACTCCGTTTTGGCGACGCCCCCAAGGCCGCGGCCCATTTCTTCTGCTTCTTCGGCTGCGGCTCGGCTCCTCCTCCTCCTCCTCCTCCTCCTCCTCCACCTCCTTGCCCTCCTCCTTATCCTTCTCCTCCTCCTTCTCCTCCACATGCTACTTGCGCTCCTCAAAACAACAAATGCATGGTACTTGCGCGCCTGCTCCTGCTCCTTTTCCTCGTCCCCCCCCCCGCTCCCCCTATTTCACCGTCGTTGTTGATTGGCGGGTGCTGCGGAAGGCAAGAATCACTTACCCCCTGGTGGTAGAACCCCAGTCCTTCATAAAGGCCGCCGAACAAGTCATTGGTTACCTCCTATTGGGGGGAGGTTCTGAAGAACTTTCGTCGCGGTTAAGCATACACACCGTCGGGGGCTCCGCGCGGATGTCTCGGACCTGCGCTGGGCCCTCCTGGCCGCTCCAGCGGAGGGGGGGCCCAGCGCCGACCCAGGAGCTCCACGCGGAGCTCCGACAGTTTAGAGTGGAGGCCCATGCCAAGAAACAGCCTGCTTGCCTCAAGGGTGCCCTGGGTTTCAAGGGTTTCGATGGTCCTGCTGTGAAAAGAGCAGCGCTCCCACACCACAAATCAGCGCACGCCCCGGGGACTCAGGGTTGGGTTCTTGGTGGAAGGTTTCTTGTGGACTGGCCTCCACTGTGTGGTTGTGCCAGTATCCCCCTCCCTCTTCCCGCCCCCTCCCCGCGTCCAGCCCAGCGCAGGCAGGGCTGCCGGTGCGCTGGCGCAAGAGCCCGGGGCGCCTCGCCGCCCTGGCAGCGCTAGGTGTCCTCCCCCCTTGTCGCCTCGTCGTTGGCATCCTCCTCCTCGCAGAGTTTTTGCAGAAGGCTCTGGTTGGAATCACACCCGGCACATGGCTACAGACTGCTGCAACTTCCCAAATTCTGGGCGGACCTCGATAGCGACTTCTTGAAGTTCACACGCCTGTGACCGGGCTCCGGCCCGCCCGCGCCGCCCCTAAGAGGCCTGCCGGCCCGCCGGCTGGAGGACTCGCGCGTCTGCGTCTAAGTCTGCGTCTCCTCCTCCTCCTCCGAGTTGCGTGGACCTCCCGAGATTGCAGGATACTCCGAGTGTCCTGGTGCGTGCATGCGGCGATGACGCGCCAGCGACGCCGGCGAAGGCGTTCAAGGTTGAACTCAGCATGATGGAACGACGAGGAAACGATGAGGGGCACGGCAACGCCACAGGACCCGACGGAATTCAACCTCGAACGATCGGGGTTGCGATCGGTTCGAGGTTGAACGATCGACGCGGTATCAAAAGCCTCTGCGCGCGCCGACGCCGCACGAACCTACCGTACATGTCATTCTTCCTGCCTCCAGGAACGTGAGCTCCTGTCCTTGTCCTCGTGCCCTCGTCGCCATCGTCCTCCGAATCCTGTGGGCTTCCCGAGCGTGCAGGATACTCCGAGGGTCATGCCGCTCCCCCCTCCTCCAGGAGCGTGATCCGCAGCCGCCATGGCAGCCCTAACTAGATGTCCTCTCCCCTGTCGCCGCGTCGGTCGTACCTCCCTCTGTGCTCGTGTCGTCGTCGTCGTCGTCGTCGTCGTCGTCGTCGTCGTCGTCGTCGTCGTCGTCGTCGTCGTCCAAATTGCGCGGACGTCCCGAGCGTGCAGGACTCGGCGGCGAGCGGGGGAGGAAGTGAAAAGGGGCGGGCCTTCTCAGAAGGCTCGGAAGTCCCCTGCCTTCTGAGAAGTTTTCGGAGCCTTCCCCGAAGACGCAGAACACTTTTCAGAAGGCGCGAGGGCTTCTGAGAAGCCCCGCCGCCTTCTGACAAGGCCTTCTCCTTCTCACTCCCCCCCCCACCCGCCGCCGAAAACAGGAGGAGGAGGGCGACGACGACGTGGACACGATTGTGGACGCGGAGACGTGGAGCGACGACGAGGAGGACGAGGAACGACGGGGACGAAGAGGCGGCGGCGGGCGAGGAGGACGAGGAGCCCGGACGGGGAGGAGGAGGCCCTCGCTCGCCGCCGCTCCAGGAGCGTGAGACGACGCCGCCCGCGCCGAGGGCCCTGCGCGGCATCCTCCGCGGCCGCGGCGCCGCGCGCGCGCCCTCGCCGAAGGCCGCGGCCCGCGCCGGGCTCGGCAGGCGCCTGCAGCTGAGCAGGCCAGGCATGGTGAGCCTCCGAAGGTCGGGGGAGGCAGAACTCCTCCTCCTCCTCCACCTCCTCCCACTCCTCCACCTCCTCCTGCTCCTCCTCCTCCTCCTCCTCGTCCTCGTCCTCGTCCTCCTCCCCCTCCTCCTCCTTCTCCTCCTCCTCCTCCTCCTCCTCCTCCTCCTCGCCCCCTCCCCCGCCTTCTTGGACGGGGCTGGGCGTGGGGGTTGCTAAGAGATGGGGGGGCGATCAGTGGATGCCAAGGTGGGTTTTATCTGGCCTAACCTAGCTCACTAGTGGTTTGCCAAGGCCCCAAGTGGCTTGGGGGGGGTGCGATCCAGGCTGAGTGGGCTCCACCCACTTAGCGGAGTCACTACCCATACCGCTACCCTTCCCTCATTTTCGTCTTCTTGGGCCTCCTGGGAGGCCCTCGTCGCCACTGGCGGATTCGCCTCGCAATACTAGTCAAAACCCACCCCGGGAGAGGTCCAGGAAGTAGCTGTATCAGTACATGTCGGTTTCCCCGGTTAACCTACGGTATCGTACAGTCTAGTCTAAATGGAGTCGGCGGCACGCAGAGGGGCTCGGGGACGGGGGGAAGGCTTCTTCGAGGGAGGCTGCGTCTCAGGAGGCGCGGGCCTTGTCTGTAGGTGTAAGGCCAGCACCTTCTGAGAAGCCGCCTCTTTGCAGAAAGCCTTTCCCACTATCCCCCCGACCCCCTCGTGCGCGCCGCCGAAGCCAAGACGCTGAAGTAAGGAACCCCTGGGGCTCAGGAGGAGGAGGAGGAGGAGGAGGGATTTCGGGCCGTTGCTCAGATCTATGTCGTGGGACCCCCGTTCGTGACGTGGGCTCGCCGCGGCCAGAGAAGCCCCTTTGTTCATTCTGGTAGCACCCTGGCTGCATCCCCATCCTCACGAGGCCATGGCATCTCAGCCCCACCATGCCACTCCCCAGTTGGGGACAGGCCCCTCGAAACCCGAGGGGAACAGCCTCTATCCCCACCTGGGAGGGGGGAATCTGCCAGCGGGGCCCAGGCCACGCCAGTGGGGATAGGGATCGTGCAAGACGATTCTCAGACACTTTTTCTCGTCGGCGGCGAGGCAGAGGCAATCCGCACCAGCGAAAGAGCAAAGCAGGGGCACTACTCAGCGAATTAGCCGGCGCGCAAGAGCGAAAGGAGGACAAAGGGGCCGCGGGCGGAGACGATATTCAAACACGGCATGAGCATAAATTGTCGGAGCTCCGCGCGGAACTGCGGGCACGGCGCCGGACCCCCCTGGACCAGCGCCTCCGGTGCCGCCCCTGGCGCGCTTCCGGCGCCAGGTCGGGTTTTGCGCACATCCACGGAAGCCGCGCGGACTGCGGCGCCTCCGGCGCCGCCCCTGGCGCGCGCCGAGCGCCAGGGATGGGGTGATCCCATTTATGTCGGGCATGTCCTCCTACAGGCTGATCTTGGAAGGAAAATTCAAAATAGTCATACAATATACACGAAGGATCCAAAATAGTAGAAACACCGTCCCCAGACTATTGTTTCACTATTCTTGAATATTCCTCCTGTAGAGGTATGCGCTCGACTTAAGGGCAGATTCAAAAAATCCGCGCGGATCTCCGGAAAGTCAGTGCTTCCGGGGCGAAAGCACATCCGTAGCCGCGGCCTCGCGGACAAAGGGCCCTGGGCCGTGACCCCGCGGATATGCGTGGCGTTGCGTTGCGCGGATGTCCCGCGCGGATACGCATCCGTGCGACCCCGCATCCGCGGGATTGCGCCCCGGAATCTAGTCCGCGAGGGCGCGGATAAGGCGGGTTCCAGAAATCGAAGGAATATAAACTTTTGGCGCTCCGCGCGGATTTCTCGTATCCACGGTGGGTCCCCTGGCGCGCCGACCCTGACGCGCTCCGCGCGCCAGGAAGCGGGGTCCAGCGCAGATCCAGTTTATGTGTGTGGCGTTGTTTCTCCTTCTAAGAGCGGGCCTCGCCTTCGAGGGTCGATGGAGTTGGCATCTGTGCCTTGGCAGCGCCGGCAGAAGCCGGCGGAAGTCAAGGATGCGGCACCAAGAGATGGCTACGTTATTGCGTTCTCAAGGTTTCTCAAATCGGCCAAACGGATAGGTTCGCCACTTGTGAGTCTACGGTCGGGAACTTTTGGATAGCGTGTCGCTCTGCTGGTTCTGGCCCGGTGCGCCTCCGGGCGACACGCTATTCATTTTCTGGTCCCCCAGCGTCAACGTCCTGAGCTTTACCCAGCACCCCGCCCCGTGGAGCGGAGCGACGCGCTGTCCACTTGCAGGAGATAGCGCGTCGCCAGAGCCGCCGCGGCGACACGCCATGGAGCAACACCCAAACGGGCGCTGTTCGTGAGTTTATGTTCATCAAAAGGCAGGAGGGGGAGGAAGGAGGGAGGACGGAAGAGGAATTAAGGAGCAGGGAGGGGGAGGGAGGAGGAGGGAAAGTAACAGGGAGGAGGGAGGCAGGAGGAAAAGTATGAAGAGGGAGGACGGCCGCCTGCGAGAACATCATCCCCGGCGCTCACCCTCGGCGCCGCGCCGCCCCGCTATCGGAGGCGGGCGGCGCGCGTACCACGAGAAGGTGATCAACCGCGATCACAACATCATCCACCATCGTGTGGCCATCCGGGACAGCGTGAACATCTTCAACATTAGCAGAGGCTTACGGCCTACGAGACCGACCCGCCGAAGCGGAAGCATACCGGCAAGTATGCCGACGACGTCCGACATGGGATACAACCTAGATCCGACGATATCACTACCATTGCCACGGCCGCCCTCGAGCTGGCGACCAGGGCATCCTCAGATCACTGCGCCGAGCGCGACCGTCGTCAGCGACCTCACGATCCGCACGAAGAACGATACGGCCCGCGTACTGAACGCCACGATCAACCTGCTGAACCCCGCGATCCACGCGCAATACATCACGATCGTCGCGTGGAGCCCCGCGACCGCCGTGCGGATCCCCCCACGATCTGCGCACGAAGCCTCACGATCCACGTATGGAATTTCGCGACTTGCGCACGGAACCTCACGTCTTGCGAACGGAACCTCAAGATCTGCGTACAGAACTTACCGACCGTCGCGCTGAGTTTCGCGGACCACCAGCAGAGCTACGAGAGAAAGAAGCAAAGCTTCGAGAGCCACCAGGCGAGGAAGAGCGGGATTCGGCCTCGCTTGTCATACCTCCATCAGGTTTTTCTTCTTCCTCTGACGACTCCGATTTGGACCGCGGGAAGACGAAAGATGCAGACGAGAAGCATACCAATCATGCAGACGAGGAGGAGGATTACGAGGAGAGCGGCCAGAAGGAATAGCCCGACGCCTTCGCGACGGCCTCGCTGACGTGCGCGGTTGCCTCGCAAGGCGCCATGCCATCGCAAGACGCACTCATTGGCTACGAGGGCCACCGGCTGAACTACGAAAGCCACCAGCGTTGCTACGAGGACCACGGGTTGAGTTACCAGGACCACGCGTCGAGCTAAGAGGGCTGCAAGCCGGTCTACGAGGACCACCAGCCGAGCTACGAGGAACACCAGCTGGGCTACGAGAGTCCAAAGCCGAGCCCCGAGGGCCACAACCTGAGTTACGCGGGCAACAAGCAGAGCTACGAGAGCCTCCCGCAGAGCAACCAGGGCGACGAGCTGAACTGCAAGGGCCACGAGCAGAGTTTCGAGAGCCACAAGAGCCGCCAGCAGAGCTACGAGGTCCGCCTCATGAGCTGCCAGAACCACAGGCTGAACTGCGATGGCCACAAGCAGGGCTACGAGGAAACCTGGTCAGCTACAAGGGCCACTAGAGGAGCTACCAGGGCCGCTTTTTGAGATACGAGGACCTGTGGCTTGAGTACGAGGGTCATCGGCAGGGCTACGAGGACCACAAGCTGAGCTACGAGAGCCACAGGCGGAGCTACCAAGGGTACTTTCCGAGCTACTAGGGCTTCTAGCATGCCTACGACGGCCATTTGCTGAACTCCGAGGACCACAGGCACGGCTACGTGGGCCACAAGCAGGGCTAGGAGGACCCCTAGTTGAGCCACGAGAAACACCAGGTGAGGCACCAGGGCGGAGCTATGAGGACTGCCAGCTGGGCTACGCGGGCCACAACCTGAGCTACACAGGCCACAAGTATAAGTACGGGGGCCTCCCTCATAGCTACTTGGACGACGAGCTCAATTGCAAAGGCCACGAACAGGGCCTTGCGGGCCAGGAGTTCAGCCACAAGGGCCACCTGCGGAGCTATGAAGGCCACAACTTGAGCAACGTGGGCCATACACAGATTTACGAGAGCCTCCCTCAGAGCTACTAGGGCGACGAGCTGATCTGCAAGGGCCACCTGCTGAGCAAGGACAGCCACCAGCAGAGCTACGAGAACCACAAGCAGGGTTTCGAGGATTACCTGCCGTGCTACCACGACCACCAGCCGATCTACGAGGGCAAGCTGTGCTTCACGAACCAAACGCAAAGCAACGAACGCCACCGGCACAAACCGCAGAGCTTCAAGCGCGACCAGATGAAGTACCAATGCTGCCCGCCGACCAACGAGAACCACCACCAGAACTCCCATGCCAGCTGTTGAGCTACACGACCACCAGCTGAACTACGAGGGCTGCAAACTGAGCTATCTCGGCAACCAGTTGAACTACGAGGGCCACCAGCGTAGCTGCGAAGGCTACCAGAAGAGTTCCGAGGGCCACCTGAGCTAAGAGAGCAACCAGCTGAGCTACGATGGCCACCAGACGAGCTTCTACCACGAGACCCACGCAAGATTGCAGCCAAATGCCAGAACACATGGGACGGAAAAATCGAGCTGCGGGTCCGCATCACAGAGGCCGTCCACATGGCGGGCCGCATCTCTTGCGACGAGCACAAAGAGCGCATCGTCATGGCACACCGCCGTATGAAAGACCGCCTTACTGCCCTGCAGGAACTACCGCATGATCTCCGTGCGGCGCCTCACGACGGTGATAATGAGACCGGCCAAGCCGGACCACCCCGGGCACAACTGGATTCAGGCTATTACGTTACCTCGTTTATACACTTTTCCGACAAGGCACGCCACGCACACCGCTACAGGAAAGGTATTACGTCATTCACGACTCCAGCGTGGGCTCGGCGGCTCCGCGGGCAGCGCGCATGCCGCGCAGCCGCGCGCGCGGGTCATCGGAGTCAAGGGATCGCCGCGTGGCGCTGCGAGAGAGGAAGTGGAGGAGGGAGGAGGGAGAAAGGAGGAGCAGGAGGTCCCCTTGGTGCGAGTGGGGTTCGGGCAGGCGGGGGTTCCTACAGGCAAGGGAGAGGCCCTTGAGCCACCCGCCGTGGCGAGCGCGGCCTCCTGCCAACCAACTGCGACCATCGCCCCGGATGGCGCGAACCTCCCCGCGCCCACTGGGAACATGGGAAACGGGCCCGGGCTTCGGGGGGGGGGGGGGGCGCTGTGAGAGAGACATGGCGCCCGCCGGAGGCCTTGTGAGGAGGGGGCAGAGCAGGGGGGAAGAAATAGGACGGGGCGGAAGCGGAGGAGGGGAAGGAAGGGGAGGAGAGTAGAGTTATGAAGAGGATGGCGGGGGGGACGACGGGGAAGACGACGGGGAGGACGACGGGGAGGAAGGGAACGGCGGGGAGGGAGACGGGGAGCAGGAGGAGAGAGAGAGAGAGAGAGAGACGAGGAGCAGGAGCAGAAGGAGCACGCTGGCACACAGGGGCCATCACGTCACGGGCCTGCCACACCGCTGTGCCGTGTAATTATTTTGCGACCACCTCGGTGGGCGAGGGCCCCCTTTGATTGGACTTGGGGTCGGCGCGGTGGGGTTCCCCAAAGGCTTCGGAGAAAAAGGCGTTTACGTCATCACTGTTGGCGAGTGCGGCCAATGCCGGGCCACAACCGCAGCATGCGCCTCACGCGTACATCGCCGGCCGTCTTGACAAGGGCCAGGTCGGCCCCAGCACGCAGCCGTCGTTACAATCAACCATCTATTAACTAGCTCCCACCTCGCGCGCTCTGTGTTCCCAGCCTTCCATCGCCAACAAGCCGCTCGTTGCTGCAGAGGCGCTTGCAGCCTCTACCATCGATAGTGTGGGGACTGTTTGGTAGTGGGAGTGGGGAGGAAGAGCAACCGCCGCCGGCTGCCATGGCCCATGGCGTTGGCCACGGCAACCGCGGACACCCAGCCGCGCCACAGCCAGCACGCATCCCGCCCACTAGTCGCAGCTGAATGCTCTCACGTGCTTCCACGGTTCTCACCTGGTGCGCTTTCACTTCCCAGATTTCGCCAACGAGCAATCGTCTGCCCAGCCGCTCTTGCAGTCTCAATTGCAATAGTGTGACGATGGCTTCGGGGATACACTGGTGGGGGTAGGAACGAACAACAACTGTCAAGCCACCTTCGGGCGAGTATGGCCGTGACCATTTTTGCACGCCACACGCCGCCGCCGCCTTTGCACGCCACACGCTGCAACGCCGCTGCCCCCCTCCCCCCGCTCTT